TTGTTACCTAGTTGGGTAATGAAACATCTGCAAGAAAACAAGCTCAGAGAACACCAAGGACCCCACAGTCCTCCTCCTCCTCCTCCTCCTCCTCCTCCTCCTCCTCTCCACAAGCCCCCCTCCCTTCTAGCATTGATGATGTTCCCTAGTTGGGTCATGAAACGTCTGCAAGAAAACAACCCAGGCTCAGAGAGCACCAAAGATCCTGTGGTTCTCCTCCTCCTTCTCTTCTCCTCCTGTCCCCTCCTCTTCCACTCCTCCTCCTCCTCCTCCTCCTCCTCTCCACAAGCCCCCCTCCCTTCTTGCACTGATGATGTTCCCTAGTTGGGTCATGAAACGTCTGCAAGAAAACAACCCAGGCTCAGAGAGCACCAGGGACCCCGAAGTTCAGCCCGGACCTAGAAAGATTCTCTTCCATCAGTGTTCTATTCCTGATGGAGAAAATTAAAATGCACCAACCCTGATGTCCAGTTTGTGCACATTTTTTTTCTAACCCGGGTCTTTGTTTTCACAATTTGGGCTGATTGGCGCATTGTCGTAAAAGAGTTTCTCCAAACTTAATATATTTTTTGTCTCCTTATGCATTGGGGGACAGGTCAAGATTTCTCCCCCCCCAATATTTAATTTTTTGACCGTTGTCCAGCGTTATGACCTGTGGAGAAGAGTAATGATGTTTGACTTTTGTACTGAAATTAGCTATGTTACATACCAGATAAATAAATTTCTCTCCTTCTCCCATTGAATTGAATGGATACCCAGCCAGATCACGCTGGAATAACTCTTAGGGCTCAAGGAGGTCCAAGTTTGGTGCATCTTTAATAGTAGTAGTAGTAGTAGTAGTAGTAGTAGTAATAATAATAATAATAATAATAATAATAATAATAATAATAATAATAATAATAATAATAATAATAATAAAGTTGGAAGGGACCTTGGAGGTCATCTAGTCCAACCCCCTGCTTTACCTGGAAGGGGTGGGGGCGAAAAGGGTATGTCAGGGAGGCATACAGGTAGTCCTCATCTTACAACAGTTTGCTTAGTGACCGTTAACAACGGTCACTGA